CTCGCACACTCTCGCACACTCTCGCACACTCTCGCACACTCTCGCACACTCTCGCACTCTCTCGCACTCTCTCGCACTCTCTCGCACACTCTCGCACTCTCTCGCACACTCTCATACACTCGGAAACTCGCACACTCTCGCACTTACGCACTCACGCACTCACACACTCACGCACTCACGCACACTCGCAGACTCTCGCAGACTCGCGCACACTCTCACTCTCAGACACTCGCAGACTGGCACACTCGCACACTCTCACTCTTGAAGACTCACAACCCTCTCACTCTCACACTCTCACACTCTCGCACACTCTCACTCTCGCAGACTCGCACACTCTCGCACACACTCGCAGACTCTCTCACTCTCGCACACTCGCACACTCTCATTCTTGAAGACTCACAACCCTCTCACTCACACTCTCGCAGACTCTCTCACACTCGCAGACTCGCACACTCGCAGACACTCTCACACTCGGAAACTCGCACACTCTCGCACACTCTCGCACACTCTCGCACACTCTCGCACACTCTCGCACACTCGCACTCTCGCACACTCGCAGACTCTCTCACTCTCACACTCTCATTCTTGAAGACTCACAACCCTCTCACTCACACTCTCGCAGACTCTCTCACTCTCGCAGACTCGCAGACACTCTCACACTCGGAAACTCGCACACTCTCGCACACTCTCGCACACTCTCGCACACTCTCGCACTCTCGCACTCTCGCACACTCGCAGACTCTCTCACTCTCGCACACTCTCACACTCTCATTCTTGAAGACTCACAACCCTCTCACTCACACTCTCGCAGACTCGCACAAACGCACACTCGCAGACACTCTCACACTCTCACATTCGGAAACTCGCACACTCTCATTCTTGAAGACTCACAACCCTCTCACGCAGACTCTCTCACACTCGCACACTCTAACTCTCGCAGACTCGCCCACTCTCGCACTCTCACACTCTCGCACTCTCACACTCTCACACTCTCGCACTCTCGCACTCTCGCACTCTCGCACTCTCGCACACTCTCACACTCTCACACTCTCACACTCTCACACTCTCACACTCTCACACTCTCACACTCTCGCACTCGCCCACTCTCGCACTCGCCCACTCTCGCACTCTCGCACTCTCACACTCTCACACTCTCACACTCTCACACTCTCGCACTCTCGCACTCTCGCACACTCTCGCACTCTCTCGCACACTCTCATTCTCTCACTCTCGCAGACTCACACACTCTCGCACACACGCACACTCGCAGACTCTCTCACTCTCGCACACTCACACACTCTCATTCTTGAAGACTCACAACCCTCTCACTCACACTCTCGCAGACTCGCACACACGCACACTCGCAGACACTCTCACACTCTCACACTCGGAAACTCGCACACTCTCGCACACTCTCATTCTTGAAGACTCACAACCCTCTCACGCAGACTCTCTCACACTCGCACACTCTCACTCTCGCAGACTCGCAGACTCGCACACTCTCGCACTCTCTCGCACTCTCGCACTCTCTCGCACTCTCTCGCACACTCTCGCACTCTCGCACTCTCTCGCACTCTCTCGCACTCTCTCGCACTCTCTCGCACTCTCTCGCACACTCTCGCACACTCTCGCACACTCTCGCACTCTCTCGCACTCTCTCGCACACTCTCGCACTCTCTCGCACTCTCTCGCACTCTCTCGCACTCTCTCGCACACTCTCGCACACTCTCGCACTCTCTCGCACTCTCTCGCACACTCTCGCACACTCTCGCACTCTCTCGCACTCTCTCGCACTCTCTCGCACACTCTCGCACACTCTCGCACACTCTCGCACTCTCTCGCACTCTCTCGCACTCTCTCGCACTCTCTCGCACTCTCTCGCACTCTCTCGCACACTCTCGCACACTCTCGCACTCTCGCACTCTCTCGCACTCTCTCGCACACTCTCGCACTCTCTCGCACTCTCTCGCACACTTTAGCACTCTCTCGCACACTCTCGCACTCTCTCGCACACTCTCGCACTCTCTCGCACTCTCTCGCACTCTCTCGCACACTCTCGCACACTCTCGCACTCTCTCGCACTCTCTCGCACTCTCTCGCACACTCTCGCACACTCTCGCACACTCTCGCACACTCTCGCACTCTCTCGCACTCTCTCGCACTCTCTCGCACACTCTCGCACTCTCTCGCACTCTCTCGCACACTCTCGCACTCTCGCGCACTCTCGCACACTCTCGCACACTCTCACACACTCTCACACACTCTCACACTCACTCTCACACTCACTCTCACACTCACTCTCACACTCACTCTCACACTCACTCTCACACTCACTCTCACACTCACTCTCACACTCACTCTCACACACTCTCACACACTCTCACACTCACTCTCACACTCACTCTCACACACTCTCACACACTCTCACACTCACTCTCACACTCACTCTCACACTCACTCTCACACTCACTCTCACACTCACTCTCACACTCACTCTCACACTCACTCTCACACTCACTCTCACACTCACTCTCGCAGACTCTCACACTCACTCTCGCAGACTCTCACACTCACTCTCGCAGACTCTCACACTCTCGCACACTCTCACACACTCTCACACACTCGGAAACTCTCGCACACTCTCACACACTCTCACACACTCTCACACACTCTCACACACTCTCACACACTCTCACACACTCTCACACACTCTCACACACTCGGAAACTCTCGCACACTCTCACACTTGCGCACTCTCTCTCAAGAGCAGTGAGTGATTTTCTCTTTGTCTTTTGTTGTTTGATTAACATTAAGCACACAGACATCAGCAGGATTATTAGGCTGCTGTCACTTTAAGAGCTGAACGGATCCAATATATTACAGTTTTTCTGAATTGCTAAAACACTAAACCGCATTCTCAATAGTCTAAACCAATTTGTCCAATAAATCACTCTTTTGTAAAACATTAAACAAGTTCAGGTAGTTAAAACACTGTTCGTAAATCTCATGCACTCTTTTTGCAAAACTCTAAACACATTCTCACTCACTAAAACACATTTTGCACTGATGCACTTATGTTTTAAAACGCTAAACACAGGCAGGCAAAAGTTAAACACAACTACAACACAGTTGTCATCGTTTACACACAACGACTCAAAATTGTTCACACTTATTTCTAATAATGTGATCAAATCAACTGTACATAATACAACTACAAGTCAGTTCAGAGTCCTAAAATTTACTCAAAATGGTGCTCTGAATGTTGATACCAACAATGGATGGAAACAATATAAGAGGGGGAGGAGGAAGAGGATGAGGAAGAAGAGGTGGACGAGGAGGAAGAGGATGAGGAAGAAGAGGTGGACGAGGAGGAAGAGGATGAGGAAGAAGAGGTGGACGAGAAGGAAGAGGATGAGGAAGAAGAGGTGGACGAGGAGGAAGAGGATGAGGAAGAAGAGGTGGACGAGGAGGATGAGAATGAGGAAGAGGAGGTGTGTATAGTGTTGTCAAGGCTGACTCTGCTGTAGGGTTTCCCCTTCGCCTGCAGAGATGACAGTGTGTGTGATGTGGAGAAACTCCTCCGGCCGGACCGACATGAAGACGTGATGCTGAAGCAGAATCAATCTCTCACTGACTGTGATTCTGCAGTTGCACAACTCTTCTGAGTGGACTTTACTGTAACATGCTTTCATTTAGAGCTTTTTACTGTAATAATTCATTATAATTAATAATAATTAATAATAATAATTCATTACATTTATATAGAAATTAGAAATTTTTTTTACTTTGTTACAATATACTTCTTTCTGTAACTGCACGCTTTGGATTCTGTGTTCTCCATTTTTTTATGTAGTGTCTAATGAATGATCTGATCTGTAGTGTTTATAATATTGGCTCTCTGTGTGTATAATCTGAGACCATTGTTTGATTTTGAGCACAGATTAAATAGTTTTGAGGCAATTGTTTGATTTTGCCAGAAGTGTCAGAGGTTCTGTGAATGTGTTTTTGAAAATTTGGTTTTGTGTTTAAGGTTTTGAGAAAGTGGGTGATGGTTTCAAGAAATGAGTTTTAGCCATTAATGTCCACTTAGGAGATAACTGACGTGTAGTAACTGACACAACTGTTTACGTGAATACTCGAATATTTTTCCTTATGTAACGGTTTACAACATACAATATGCTCAAAATGTAAAAAAATATATATATATATTATGATTTGAAAGAAGTCTCTTCTGCTCACCAAGGCTAAAAATCAAGGCTAGTCATATTGTGAAATATCATTACAGTTCAAAAGTTTTGATCCTTGAGAATGACACTGAAGACTGGAGTAATGATGCTGAAAATTCAGGTTTGATCACAGGAATTAAATTAATACATTTTATATTAACATAGAAAACAGCCATTTTAAATTGAAATAATATTTCACAACATTACTATTTATACTGTATTTTGTATTAAATAGATGCAGCCTTGGTGAGCAGAAGAGACTTCTTTCAAAAACATTAAACATCGTAGTTATTCCAAACTTTTGATCGGTAATGTATTTTTTAGCATATTTTAAATTAATTTTAGCCAGAAATGAAAAAGAGACCCACTTTATATATATATATATCTTTAAGTACTTATACAGAACATTTGGTACAATATACTTATCGTTTATGTTGTTACATTGTACTTTCCTTTAAATAACTGCATGTAATTGCACGGTTGATGTTACCAAATCTCAAACCTACGGCTAACACTAACCTTATTATCACAACCTAGTACACAATAGCTAAAGAAACCTAATATAAAGTGGGACAGAAAATTGTCATGAAAGGACAATATTATGAATGTTTATGGTGGAAGATACCTTGACTAACATTATAAATGGATTTGATGGGCGAGAGAACTGGTAACTGAACTCGACAGGGGAACAGGAACTGGGATGAAGAGAGAACAGAATGATTTCTTCCTGGTTTGTGTGTTTTGGAGGCTGAGGGTGATGCTTGTTCCTCTTACCGGCTGCGGCTGCTCGGCGATACAGCAGTTGAAGCACAACCAGAATTCACTCATGACTGGCAGACGGTGCTAAAGTGCCGCTGTGCCCGTGGGCCGGAGGGGCTCTGGGGTCCTGGACCGGGTCCCACGCCTCAGAGGTCCAGTCTGGGGTGACGGAGGTGCTATTCAGCCTGAGCTCAGGGTCCTGGGACAGGGGAGCAGAAGATCCACACGACTCAGGCCACTTCACCAACACTCAGACCTGCAGGACACAAGCATCTGTCAGATCATTTACACCAGCGCTTCACACGCTCCGTCGCGCATTTACTTCAAATAAACAAATGGGGCTGCACAATTAATTCACATATAACTGAAATAGCATGGTGATTATGTAATCAAAAGCTGTGAGTATATTAATGGGAGTATATCAGGGCCTTAAATGCTGCTTCTCGCAAACATCTCTGGTTCAATTAATTTACATTTGCATAATTGCCAACATTTTAGCGGACAGACTTTTGCATTTCACCAGTATTCTGCTAAAATAAAAGCTTGAGGGTTTGAATGTTTGAAATCGAATAATATTTTTCATCATAAATATTGGTTTTGTAACTTAGTGTAAGTTGGTTCTTGTAAAGGGTGAACACATGAGAAAACATCCTTAAAAGTTGAGTAGAGTCTCATTGTTTTTTATGTGTGGATGACTCATTTTTATATGGAATGAAATGAAATATCATATAGCAGTTCAAATCCCAATGGCAATGTACGACAACATAATCGCAATATAATTTTTTGGCCAAGTCGTGCAGCATATATTTAATTTTTAAATAAAAAACAATCCAAATAAAACCCTTGCTAAAACAAGATTAGATGTTTAATCTGTGTGCTTGTGCGTCATGTGACCATTACCCGACATCAAGTAACCGACACAAGTGTGAACACGCGAATCTGTTAGGGGTGTGCAAAAAAATCGATTCACATTTGAATCGCGATTCAATCTTTACCGATTCAGAATCGATTCATAGAATTCCAAAAATCGATTCATATTTTTTTTTTTATGGCGTGCACGGGCGGAGTGGCAATCGGGTGAGTCGGGACTTTTACCGGTGGTCCGGTAGTGTTTCGAGGCCGCGAGGGCCGGTCTGATAAATAGTTACATTGCAAGTTCTTGCCGCCCGCTGGTCAAACTGTGCAGCCTCTCTGCGCAACCCGTGAATAAATGCATCGATCCGCAGATCTTATGTTTGAGTTCTGTAGATCTTTTGCCAAGCGTGTCAGAGGTTACGGGTTCTAAACCGCACTCGTATAGTTTTTTCTCTCTCTCATCAAAACCGAATGTGTTCATCACGTTTGTGTGCATTTTATTTTGAGATTTCACCGGAGTCTCCACAACGGCGATAGATTGAAGCGCGCGTCCGAGTGAAGACTGCGCGAGCCACAGAGAACACTGTATCCATGACACTGATAGCAGCGGACACGAGCGCGCAGCTTGATTTCAAAAACAACAGATCTCTTATTTAATAGCGAACTAAAGAATGCTCTGCTAGTTAACTGGAGATACCCGCAAATTATGCCCGTGAACGACGAACGACGACTAGATCTAAACAAATCAATCTAACCATAGATGTTACCAGTAGCGGTGGCTTTTTAAAATCTATTTAAAATTATTTCGCAAGGGTTCTATGACATTAGTATTTTTAGGAAGTTCAATGTGCCCAGTCGAGTTCACATTTCAACAGTCAGCCTGGTAGCTGAAGTAGTCCTTAAACCACATTTAGCATAATTGTTTGTTTGATCTGACTACAGCACTTTAAAGCTAAATGTAAAAGCTTTTTATTTAAGTTTTATTTTAAACTTGAATTAAATGTATTTGAAAGCTGACCAAAGCTTGGCACTTTGCACTTTTTAGTTGCAAAAGTTTTTTATTTTTGGATGAAGACATTTAAAGTAATATCAAACTACATTTAATTTGTTGTGTTTTTTTTTTCTTTTAAATTGTGTCTACTGCAATCAATCACATAGGAAAAAGTAAACTACATTTATATACTGCGAATCGTTTTTTGAATCGAGAATCGATTTTGAAATCGAATCTTGAGACAAAAAATCGGTATCGAATCGAATCGTGACATTTTCTGAATCGTGCACCCCTAGAATCTGTCATTAAATTATTGACATGTTCATTTAAAATCTCAGGGGTACTTCAAGTAAATATCTGACAAGCCCTGATTTACACAATTGGTTCATCAGGGTTGGGGGGTGGGGATGATTGCATCAACCTTTTAAATACTTAGCATATTTATGTAAATTTGGACCGCTTTCTCAAGCCAAATCAGATGCCAACAGAAGAGGGGACAAAATACTGCGCAACAAGGCCAAAGAGTTGATTCTTGACCGCATGTCCACAGACAACAGGGACGAAAGGTTTGCGCTTGTTTTTGCACAGAAGGGAAGAATAGTCTCGGACAAACATGACTTGAATAGAAACAATAAATATGTAACTGCAGGAAGGAATGGCTCTTTATTTGTGTGTGTGTGTGTGTGTGTGTGTGTGTGTGTGTGTGTGTGTGTGTGTGTGTGTGTGTGTGTGTGTGTGTGTGTGTGTGTGTGTGTGTGTGTGTGTGTGTGTGCAGAATTCTCTTGAATCACACAAAGTTGTACACTATGTATAAATATATATTTGTACTTCTCCGATACACAATGGACATTTGAACATATTCTTTCCTGCTTACTCTGTCTATAGATGTTTATTCTTCTAATGTATCTTTTTCCACCAATTCATGTTTGTCGTTTAATATTTTTTTCCACTTTTTACAATACAATACACAGTATGTGCCAACCATAAAAATGGGGTTCCACAACTTGGTTTAATAGCAATATTTCAGTAAATGAAACAATTTTGGTACATGTAGTTTTAAAAGACGTGGAATATACACTGTGACACTATACTATGCTTTCATTGTAAGGAAAAGAACATTCTGTCTAACATTTCCTTCTGTGTTTCATGGAAGAAAGAAAGTAATGCAGGTTTGAAACAACATGATGATTTTTTGGGTCTACTACAAGTAGGTATTAATTATGACTCCATGTTGATAAAGAGAAATATTTAGCCTCCAATTACACTAATATACACTTTTAGACAAGAAGGCTGTTCTCTGTTAATGGATAATCTTTTTTTTTTTAAAGTATTTGGATGCTTAGATCATTTAAAAATGTCAAATGTCAAACCAAATGTCATCTGAAAGCAAATGACAAGAGTTTTCTGGGTTTTTTTTTGTTGCAATGACTCTTAGACCTTGTCCACACGGACACGGGTATTTTTCCCTCCTACGTTTAAAAAAAAATCCCGTCCAAATGAAAACGCAAAAACACGCTATCAAGCGCTGTCAAGAGCATGCCACACCAGCAGGCGGCGATATAACCCTAACCGTAAAGCCACGTTGGCCAATCAGAAGCCTAACAAAAAATGATTACAGGTTCCGGTAGGCGGATAACGGCGCTGTCACGGTTGGTAAATCCTATGTCTTCTTCTTGTCTCGTGTCTCTGTTGTTGTATGTGTGTGCGCTGATCAGAGGGGCGTGGCCGCTCATCAGCGCTCGTTCAGCAATCACTCATTACCTCATCACCAGCTGCAGTCTATCCATTCCTGTGTATATATTCTCACCAACTTCTCATCTCCATTGTCAGATCGGTGTTTGTGATGTCCGGTTGTGTTGATCCCTCTGCGTTCCAGTCCCGTGCCTTCGTTGTTCCTGTTCGTGTTCCTGTGGTCGTTATCTGGATTCGTCTTGTTTGTTCAGCACTCTCCGTCACCTCACTCACCGGATTCATCTGACCATTGGAGTCCCTGCGCCGCTAGCCTGTTACCACTGGACTCTCTCTTGCTTCATCATTGCTTTGTAATAAATACTGAGTTTTACTTGCATCTTGCTTCCGAGTTTCTATCGTTACAGAACGATCTGACCCAAATGGAAGCAGCGAGTAACCCGTCAGAAAGTCTGGAAGACTTTCTGAACAACAGCAGACTTCGGATGGATAACCAAGAAAAGAACCTCAACGACACAGCTCGCGCTGTTCAGGCTTTAGTGGCGCAGGTGTCTGGGCTCACCCAGCAAATCCAACTTCTGCGAGCTCCCACTGCGCCGCCTGCACCGCCGATTCCCCAACCACCACCAGCGGACCCCTCCCAGTCGGAGCCCCGTCTACCGGCTCCGGAGCCGTATTCAGGTGAACCAAACTTTTGTCGAGCCTTCTTAACACGATGCTCAATGCATTTTTCTCTCCAGCCCCGAACCTTCCGTGAGGAACGAACCAAGGTCGCTTTTGTCTTGACGTTACTGACTGGGAGAGCGGCACTATGGGGAACGGCGGTGTGGGAGAACCAGGACGAATGCTGCGCCTCGTTCCAAGCGCTCTCCGCCGAAATGAAACGAGTCTTTGACCGCGCTGTGGCCGGGAGAGAAGCAGCCAGAGTGTTAGCCGACCTGCGTCAAGGAAGGAGATCCGTAGCGGATTTTTCTATCGAGTTCCGGACCCTGGCGGCGGAGAGCCAATGGAACGAGGAGGCGCAGTGGGACATGTTCCTGCATGGGCTGGCTGACCGCGTCCAGAAGGAGATATACGCCATGGACCTTCCCACCAAGCTCAATGACCTAATCGCTTTGGCGCTTAGAGTGGACGCACGGCTGTCCAGAGTGGAACAGCGAGCACAGCTCAACCGCCCTTCGGGAGGATTTGAAGGCCAACGTTCTGGAGGCGGGGACGCGGTCAGCCCCGTCTACGATCCCGAGCCCATGCAGGTGGGTCGAGCCCGGCTTTCCCGGGAGGAGAAGGAAAGGCGGAGATCCCAGGGCCTCTGCATGTACTGTGGAGGAGCTGGACACTTCGCCTACAACTGTCCTTTAAAAGGCCCAGCCCGACAGTAAGTATGAGGCTACTGTCGGGTGGGATCTCCGCCGAGAAGACCTCATCAACATCGACTCTCCTTCCGGTTAGACTCCGATGGTCCAACCACCGTCACGACTGTCACGCACTTCTGGACTCGGGCGCTGAAGGTAACTTCATGGACCACACCTTTGCACTCAACCACCAAGTTCCCCTCAAACCCCTCACCCGTCAGATTGCAGTACACGCCCTCAATGGCCAAGAACTCCCCACTATATCTCTGGTCACTGAAGACATCACCCTCATCACGTCAGGCAACCACTCTGAAACCATCTCCTTTTATATCCTGGACACTCCGCTTGCACCCATTGTTCTTGGCCACC